CTTAATTACAAGTTATTCGGAATTTTTTAGAGACGCTCGAAGATCAACAATCCCGGGAACGAGATTGATGCCATTCGGCATTACGGTATTTAACAGTGCTATCCAGTAAACTTCTTGAATTTCCCTGTTTCTGTTGGATGTAAAATTTGTCTCTATACCTGTCAGTATCATGTCAGGCATGTTAAAATGCTCTGCAACCGGAAGTTCTTTGTTTGTTTTGATTGAAGATTTGTGGTTATTAAACCGCTTCTGTATAGTTGTTTTAGTTTGGCCTACTTACTGGAAGTTGCATTTTTGGCACTGGATTAAGTAAATAGCATTTTTTGTAGTGCAGGTTATGGGTTTATTGATTTTGAACTGTCTTTGGTTGTCTTTATCAGAGAAATTGTTAGTCTGCTGCATGAACTTAATCAGGTTTGACAACGTTTGCTACTGCAGGGATAACTTCCAACAGGTGTCGCATTAAAGTTAACTTTGGCATGCACTAATTAGGATTTCAAAGTTTTATTTTTCTTAAAAGAAGCAACAGGAACTTCTGTAAAAATAGTTTTTAGTCTATCATTAAGTTGAAGGAGGTAAAAGTGCTTTTTCAGTATCTGGGGTAGGTTTTTTAATTTTGGGTGATATGTGATAACTAGTGGAACATGAGAGGAATTTGTTTTAGGTGACTGTTTCAAGGCAGATAAACGTGGAATATTGTTAGCTTTGTCAACTTGTTGAATCACAGTGTTTTGTTTATACCCTCTTTCGGTCATAGTTAGTTTCAAAGAATCAATGTGACGGTCATAGTTATTACTGTCAGAGCAGATTTTATTTAATCTAAGTGCTTGACTATATGTACTATTTTGTTTGGTGTGTGGAGGGTGACAGCTTTGAAAATGTAAGTACTGTGGTCTATCAGTCGGTTTACGGTACAAATCAGTATGTGGAAATCCATCTTTTAATGTCAGGTTTAGATCTAAAATACTTAATTGAGTAATGGAGTAATCTAGAGGAAATTTAATAGAACTGTGGAAAGAGTTTGCATGTCTATAGAAAGATAGTAAGGATTCTTCGTCTCCTACCCAAATGAAAAAAATGTCATCTATGTATCATTTCCAAATGTTTGGTTTCTTTTTATAACTTTCCAACAGTCTCATCTCTAAGTCTCCCATGAAAACATTGGCATAATTTGGTGCCATCTTGGTCCCCATAGCTGTGCCTTTTGTCTGAGTATAGAATTCATTATTAAATTCAAGCCCATTAAGTGTAAGAACTAGTTTAGCTAAGTCTACAATAGTCTGAGTGTTGGGTTTGTCATGTTTCAAAAGGGAAGATTCAAGAGCTTTCAGACCTTCGTCATGGGGAATGTTTGTGTAAAGAGAAGAAACGTTCATGAGTTGTCTCATAAAATAAGTCCTACTCCTGACTCATTCAATTCAGCTACTTCTTTGTCTGAGAGACACAAACCCAAAAACACTTCCAATGTCGTAAATCTGTCCTCTAAAACATTAACTGAAGCTCAACACAAACTTCTCAGTAAAGGTCTCGACTTTTCTCCTACCCCTAAGAACATAGATAATATCGAAGTTATTTCTGACTTGGTCACCAGATTCAACTCAACTGGGACTTCCGGTTTACATGACATCACACGTCCTACTATATATTGCATTGCGCAGGCTAAAGGTCACCCTTTGTTCTCCTGAAGAAGAATAGTCAACTATTCGAAAGCACTCGAGTTTTGGGTTTTATTTTAAGTTTTTTACACTTTATATGTGATCCTTTGTGCTAACTCTTTTATCAAAATTTTTGTAAAGATGATAGTTGTACATAAAATAAATATTTATTTCAAATACAAAAGTAAGAAC